AACATGTTCAATGTAATTCTCTTTCAATGTTACGTTTAAATGACTGTTTCTGCATTCATGCAGGATTCATTCATATTGTTGATCATGAAAATGTGCTCAAGATTCGCTCAATTCATCTTCTGTTTCATTGCTTCACTTGCCAGTCATGAAACCCTTCTTTCTTTTTTTTTTCCGTTCCTTCTCATTGCATTTTTCGTAGATGTACACTGTTACTCACACACGCGCGCGCACACACACACGCACACTCACACACATACATGCACATACATACACACACACACACACACACACAGAAAGAGAGAGAGAGAGAGAGAAAAAAAAAAAAAAAAAACAATGTTTGTCTCCTAATTATTAATAGTGCATGTGCTAACGATAATGTTTGACATGAGTCTCTCACCATGACACAAAGCGACAGGCCTGCGCCTCTCTTTCATAGACTCATACTACTCATATCTGTTGCGCTTAGCCGGTGGTGGTGCCTTCTTGTATGTCTCTACAACTGATTCCACGATAGTGTGCGTGATGCGTGCAATGTCAGGGCGAGGTTGCGCATGAATAATGGATAGGGATGATCGGAAGGCACAACACTTGGCCCCCACTAGTGAACCGACTTTAACACATGGATCACTGCTGATCGGAACAAGCCCAGCGAACAGCTGCCAAAAAGTCGGCATCTACGCACCATCGGGGACGTGAAGACATCATTGGGGACGGTTGGGTAGTGCGTGTCATTTGTACACACACAAAATCGTAAGGCACAACACTTGGTCCCCACTAGGGAACCGACTTTAACACATAGACTACTCCTGATCGGAACAAGCCCAGCGAACAGTTCTCAAACAGTCGGCATCTATGCACCATTGGGGTCGAGAAGACACCATTGGGGACGGTTCACTACTGGGTGTCATTTGTATACACACAAAAGCATGAGGCACAACACTGGGTCCCCACTAGTGAACTGACTTTAACACATAGACCACTGCTGATCGGAACAAGCCCCGCGAACAGCTGACAAACAGTCGACATCAACGCACCATTGGGGACGTGAAGACACCATTGAGGACGGTTGGCTAGTGTGTGTCATTTGTACACACACTAAACCGTAAGGCATAACACTTGACCCCCACTAGTGAACCGACTTTAACACATAAACCACTTCAGGCAGACAACATGCCGACACCACCCCTCGCGGACAACATGACCGTGGCTAGTCTTCACGACGTGTCGAAAGTCGGAGCACCCGTCCGTTCTTCTTCTTCGAATGATGCATTTCCTTCTTCGTTACACGGTGCTTCGAATGCGCTGTTCTCCGGCATGTTAACATTCATGGGAACATCATGTTTCAAACATGTGTCGTTCATCCTTTCAGTTTCATCTGCTGGAGTCCGATGCAATGTGACGGATGGACATACCCTTGCTCGATGCGAGTTCAATGTTCGTAACGAGTTGAAAGGGCGACCAAAGTCGCACAACATACATGCACCGTCCATACTTTTATTTTTTTTGTTCTCGCAGCAGATGCGCTTTACATCCCATGCGAACGACCTACAATTATGTTTTTGAGGCCTGTAACATTTTCCAAAGGATGACGCAAGTTTGTGTTCCGATCCTCATATGCACAACAACAACAGGACAATATGTTCATATCAACTTCATCAGCAACATGTTGAATGTTATTCTCTTTCAATGTTACGTTTTAATGACCGTTTCTGCATTCACGCAGGATTCATTCATATTGTTGATCATGAAAATGTGCTCAATATTCGCTCAATTCATCTTCTTTTTCATCGCTTCACTTGACAGTCGTGGAACCCTTCTTTTTTCTTTCGTTCCTTCTCATTGCATTTTTCGTAGATGTACACTGTTACTTACACACACGCGCGCGCACACACACACACACACACACACACACAGAGAAAAAAAAAAAAAAAGAGAGAGAGAGAGAGAGAGAGAGTGAGTGAACAATGTTTGTCTGCTAATTATTAACAGTGCATGTGCTAACGATAATGTTTGACATGAGTCTCTCACCATGACACAAAGCGACTGGTCTGCGGCTCTCTCTCATAGACTCATACTACTCATATCTGCTGCGCTTAGTCGGTGGGGTGCCTTCTTGTCTGTCTCTACAACAGATTCCACGATAGTGTGTGTGATGCGTGCAATGTCAGGGCGAGGTTTCCCATGAATAATGGATAGGGTTGTTGACATTGCAGGATGCAATGTAGCACCACACGCAGTTGTCACTGCTCCGTGTATAAGGCAACTGAGGTTCTTTCCCCATGACATAAACGTCGACAACACAATTTGTATGTTCACGAGCACAAACCAAGATTTCCCTATACGTGGCCATCGTTTGCCATTCTCGCACGCTTTCATGAGAGCGACAACCCCCGCACATTGGAGTCCGCCATCTGGTGTTGTATCCTTCTCCACAACCCGTATCAATGGATGGGGATCTGCAAACACACGTGCTAACCTCAATATTGCATGACATCAACCTTTTGTCACTTGAATGTCACTTGCCCCTATGTCCCAATAAGGATCATATTCCTCGTCATCCTCATCGCTGCTAACATCGCTCCCACTAACTTCCAAATTTGCAGACGATTTGTCTGCATCTTCATCTTCGGCTTCTTGAGAAGCTTCTTCATCATTGGTGTTTTGTGCATCTTATGTCGCAAACACTTGCTCCCCCCGACGCGAACGCACTTCCTCTCATAATGATCAGCCTGTGATTATGTCCTCTGCGCCAACCTCTCCTGAAGTTGAAGTTATCACTGATTGACTGACTGCGCAGATCGGCATCTCTGTGTGCGCAGCTATCACGGTCCCTTGCGTTGTCCCATGAGGTGGATGCAAAGCATGTGTAGCCACATTTGTCCATACTTTTGTCCTCTTTCTTTGTCTCTCCACTTCAGAAGCCGCCTGTCCAAGCTGTCGCAAGGCTGCCATTATTGTTTCTTCGCGCAATAGTGTCCCCACCACCAACTTGTCCTCCTCATTGTCCTTGCTGTATTCCACAACGTGGTGTCCTTCAATTGTTTGCTTTGTCACGTCGTGTAACACCTTGTGGATAACAGTTTTGTCCTCTGGAGATTTCTTCATGAAATCCACCATTTGGTCCAGTAGAAAGTACTCTACACCATCTGCAACTATCGTTGCTATCGTTGGAAGATCATGAAAGTCTTTTGGGGTTGTTTATGGTATGTCTTTTATCCTTGTTAACGATAAAATTTCTGCTCCGTTCAGCTTCATGTCATCCTCCGTCCCCCCTTGGACCATTCCTGCCCTTCACGCCTGGAATTTCATTAGTTTTTTTAATTTGTTGGTCCCGTAAACACCTCCTTTCTGCTGCATCGACTTGTCAATGTCTGTATCCTCACACATGCAATCCACGACTCCATTCAGGCTGTACGCTGACTCCTCTTTCTGACTTCCACCACGCTCTGCTCTTGTTCGCTTCAGGCGGTCCAAAAGATGTAGTGTTGTGGTTGCCTTGTCTCCATTTGCTGCAATCGTCCTATGGATGTCCAACTTGACATTGACGTACGCAGGCACTCTTTCCTTCAATATCTCTAGCTCCATGTTGCTATCATAGTGAACATTCCTCGTTGCATATTTCATCACCTGAGAGAGAGTTGACTGCACATATGTGAATCTTGTTCGTACGGAGAAAAAAAAAAAAGATGGCACACATTGAATGTTCCCTGCGGTCTGGGGACTCACATCACAGAAAGCCAATAATCCATCCAAACAAAAACAAAAATGGGATAAAAGGGACACAAAGATCTGAACAACATCGCCCTTACATTCATCCCTAGTTAGGCAGCTTCATCTCCTCTAGTCAAACTCGCAGGACTGAGGAAGTAAGGTTGTAGGCTGGTATTTCCAAAAAGCCGAAACCGACAGTCAGATCAAGCACTCATACAAGGACAACTCAATCTGGCCACTGGATTTTTGCCTTTGCCTAACGCCACCATGATAACATCACGAAACACACACACACACACACACACACACACACACACACACACAC